ATAGAACTTTTGAACCTTTTCTAGAGCAAATGGTACTAAAACAAAGTTAAGTGTCAAATCTCAACATTGCTAGAATCATTGTGTTTACTGTGACATTCGCTTTGTTCTTATTTATGCATGGCAAAACTTTATTCAGCATTCATTTTATGGCGGAAAAAATGTTGGAGGCAAACGCAATCGCAGAAAGAAAGACAACAAATTCATTGTCCGTATTCGCACATCAAAAGCGGAATTTTGATTACTGAATAATAGTTATATACTTCGAGTTTTACGAGTGCGAGCGAGCAAACGAGTGAGCAAACAAACATAATACACACACAATGTCTTTTAACAGTGTAATGCATATTCGTTTGACAACAATTAACGCTACATTATGAATAATAACAATTAAGATTTTCTTACAATGGTAAAACGAGATGAGATCATCACGTACTTTTGCTTGAAAACGCATCATAACGAATATAGCCAACATGGTACAATGGCATAGCATGGTATCGCAAACGCTATGCTCTCATCATTATTTCCGCTTTTACGATTTCATTAAAATCCATGCTATCGTCAATTTTCGCCAAATTTCCGGGTTCAAAAGATGATGGAATTATGGTTGGGATTCGGTCTTGCAAGCGGTGTCTGTGTCGCTGGGTCATGAAATGAATGCTCATTCACTCACTCAAACATACAAAGACTCATACGCATACTCATCATACACACAAAAGCATCATTCTTGTTGCAAGAGATCTTCTTGTATTATTTTGGTTACACATCTCGAAATCATTACTAATAGAAAGATGTGAGTCTCTCTCTCTCTCTCGCTCTGTCTCTCTCGGAAGAGAAAGCGAAACGCAGTTCGCACAGCACAAAATGGTGTTGGGTTTCATCACTATGATAGAGCAAATGGGAGCAGTGAGCGTTTCGCGTACACGTGGTCTGTTCGATGTTCATTCCTTATCGCACAAATTGACAAGGTTTCCTTCATTATTCCAGTATGAAAAGTTATACGTGTGCTGTTTCTATGCTGCTCTAGTGAAGCATGAAACAATGAAAATGTCGCTGCTGGTGGTTCGATGGTGGCGAGGTCACACATAATTAATTTAATGAAAATAATAACAATGAGAATTGGGTTGTTCGTAATTTTTATCGCTATTTTCGTCACTTTTGACGCAATTTGGGTGCTCTATTTACTTCATTATGTGCGACGCACATACAATGAATGCGTCTGCATAAATTTAAGCCGTTACATTTGTGACGCCATCCGAAATCAATAACGATTCCATGTTTAACGAACTGAAATGTACGATTTGTTAGATTGTTATTGATTCGCTGTGCATTATGTACTCGTTTGTATTGTCTGATGCTTTTGACTGGGCCGGCGTGACTATCAAAATGAGCTTTCTGAAATTGGAACTCACTGTGTATGTGTGCGCCCCAAATGAATTGAACAATGTGTACACGATGACTAAATGCATGTTAAATAGCTTCTAAATGGTTTTCGGATTTCGATGCCAACTTTTCCACGAATTGTAAGGCTCAGATGGCAACCCTCCCGTGTTTGAAAGCAAATAGCGGAATTAATGCGTTTGCAATCAAAACGATTCATATGTTTTATTAATTAGTTCGGAATGTTTTCGAGCGCGTCTACCTGTCGGCGAAGGATTGTAAATTTAGGGGCCGTGTTGAATCTAACTTTTCCGCATAACAATCATTTATTCAAAGAAGATTTGAGTTTTTCCGCTGTTGTTGTTGTTGTTGTTGTGAAAACAATTTCAAATTGTTTTGATTGGCTCGAAGCTATTTAGTTTTCATTGGAAGCAGCAACAGTTCACTTAATTTCCGTCCATTCTTTTTTTCTGTATATTTGTTTTGCAAAACATTTAATCGATTTCGTTAAAAGTGGATACTTGGTTGTTTCGCTTTTTGGCACTACATGAAATGTAGGCTACTGTAGTTGTTTTTTTTTTCCTAAGAAAATTTTAAGAATCTCTATGCCATTTTTTTGAACCGTAAATTAATTCATTTTAATATCCATATTTTTTATTTCAAATGAAGCAATTACGCCTAATTCCATTTACGATCCATTTATTTGTGCTGATTTTTAATTTTGGGCCGGGCGTTTGCAATCAAATTCTATTTAAGGAGCAAAAAACAAACGCAACCTTTGGCATGTTTACGAAATAACAAAATTTCGTACAGAAATGCGGTTTTTAATTTCACATGCTCCAGATTGCAAGTTCAGTCTTTGTTTTTTTGGGGAGGTATTTTCTTGGCATTTGGTGTCTGTTTCGAAAAGCCGAGCTTTCGCTCAATCGTGTTCACCCTTTCTTTCACTCTTATCAATTCGGCCAATGGAACGCCAAGCAGTCAACTATCAAGTAGCCAGTACAAATGAATTTCAATCGAATGAACACCGAAGCATCAGAAAAGTCAACAAAACATACCAAATAGCAAATAAATGAATGGAGTTTTTTCTTCTTCTACTTCTAAGCTCCATCGTTTCGATGCAGAATGGCAGCAATTTTCCAACTAAAAACACACATTCCAAGTGCTTCGCCAACGAGCTTAAAATTCAATTCAGTTTCTTCTAATCATGCACAAACACTACGTAGCATACTGAACTGAAGGCTCATCTCCGGCGAGTGCGAGAGATGGAAAAATCACAAATGATATGGTGAAAATGAAGAGAATGCAAGCAACAACAACAACTACAGCAGCGGCAGTGGCAACAGCAAAAAAATGTATGCATGCCGCTGGCTTTGGCCCGGTTTTATTTTTCATTGTGCACATTACACTGATGATGCTCGTTTCGAAAAGAAAATTCCGAAAATGAAACAAATTGGAAAAATCAAACGTTCTGCACCGCAACCAAACTCATCTCTAATTTCGTAAACCATCCGAGGATATGCGCTCTTTTTTTTCATACCGAAAGGAAAATTCGAAGCCGAGAAAAGGCACGAATTCCAATGGACCGAGAGTGAGTGAGAAAGAGAAAAAAAATTATAATTTTTAATGATACGTCGGTTCATTTCAAACATGTGGCTTAATATGTACCCATAACCAAACGTAGTAATACGAAAGGGAGCGTTTTTTTTTCTCATCAAGATGGGAATCAATTGGTCGAATAAATATTTACGTTGGTTGTAAGCATTTTATTGATCTCCATAGATGTTGATAAAAATTGGACCGCTCGATGCCATCGAAATGATAAAGTTGAAATGAATTTATATGAATAAAACAAGGATCGAATGATAAAAGCCAGCATCGTGAAATCGATCAAGTTAATTGGAAATGATTGGAATTAAAAGTCAACATCACATGAGAATTGACGACTGAACACACTTCTAGATGATTTAGCAAGCAACAATCGAATGAATAAAAAGTGTGAAAGAAACAGATAAAAAAAGTTGTGACGAGCACACACACGGAGCGAAAAAAAACAGAAAGAATACAACGAAAAGCGATGTAATTGAATGGCGGGGAGCAACATCAATTTCACTCGAGCGTATCTGTCAATCACAGAGTCGTTTTGAAATTTCACGTCTGATGAAGAAGAGAAAAAAACGACAATCCGCCCAGCGCGGGAAAACGACCGAAATCTGAATATTTTATTGACATTAATTCGAATTAAACGTTGATATTTCACGCATTTGAGTGTCGCCCATGACGAATCGTGGTTCATTCTCTCCCCGCCCCCCTCTCTGCGCTTTTGCGAATGTACTCGGGTAGGATTTGGTTTGAGAGGCATTCACCTCGATAGTGATTTCACTGCGACTAAAAACGAAATTTACATCACGTATATTATTGATGGAATTTTATCTTGCATTTCCATTCGGTCCGAAAAAATGGAAATGATTTCAGGATGAAAAACCCAATTCTCTAGAGGTTCATATTCAAGTCGAAACAAATACGATTTATTTCGTCAGTGAAATGTTGTCAAAGTATTAAGCGATAACGCAGGTCCGAACTGTGTTCACGAAATTCATTTGGCGTTTTCGAAAAAGCATGCATCGAACATCGTCGTGATGGTGTGCGCGCGGTCGCAGATGTGCAAATGAATGAATTATTATTTCGAATATGACACCTGCTAATTCGTTTTGTTTTGCACGTGTGCATTTGAACGATGACAAAGATGCGAAGGGCATTTTTCAAAGAATAAAAAGAAACATGGAAATTGAAAGTGTAGAACTAAACAAGCAATCTGAAGCTGTCATTGTAAGCACAATGAACATTTTTAGCAGTAGCTAACGGGCGCTCGTACATGACGAGGAAACACTTCCATCTTTTATAGGTGCTGGTGGTGCGAATCGATCGTGTTAGCGTAGCTCCCCCAACAGACGATTTTGAAACGCGCTCTGGCAGCTGCAATGTTTCACTGCGACGTCTTGTGCGATGGTGCGCGCACTCGCGAGCTAAAGCACGAAAAGAAAATGCAGTCAATGACAGATAGCTGAGGATATATGCTGAGCATTGGAACTCAGCAAGCTGAGATTGGGACGTTTGGATTTTGTGGCTTGCTATTCGTGCAAATTTATGTGGAATTTTGGTGGAATGTAGATGGAGTGTAATGGAAAATGTGTTCCCCCCATCATAAATTTGTTTGAATAGCACGTCACAAAGTCAAAATATCCCAATCTCAGCTTGCTCAGTTTCTATGCTCAGCATATATCCTCAGCTATCTGTCATTGACTGAGAAAATGTTCAAAGCCGTTTACGACTATTCCAACCATTTGCACATTCGAAATGTGTACAAATAGTACTATTATTTACTGTTGTATGTAGTTCGCAGTTTATTTCGTTCAGTTTCACGTGTTATTTTGCTGCTGCTGCTGCAGCAGCTCTGTTTCGTTGTTATCGAATGGTTTTCTTGTAATTTTTTGTGCTGTGCATTTTATCGCCACAGCTGAATGGAAATGCCTGTTCGAGAAAATCACATGAAAACACTCTCGTGACTCCGTTTTTTCCCGTTCTCATTCTCTTTTCTCTTTTTTTCTTCCCGTTTGTTACAGTTTCACGAGCAAAAATACTTGGCAACTCGGAAATATTTGTTAAGAGCGGCTCTGATATCAATTTGTAAGTATGCGCATTTTTTGTCTCTCTATTTTGAATTTAAGCTAACGGTTTGAATCGCTCTCAATTGATCTTCCTGCAGAACATGTGTAGCGATTCATTCGCCAGCGCCGCCATCATTTATCTATTGGTACAAAGAAGGACGTGTCATCAATTATTCACAGCGAGGCGGAATTTCAGTTTTGACGGAACGTAAAACACGAACGAGTAAATTGGTTATTTCAAAAGCGATGTCATCCGATTCGGGAAATTATACATGCATACCAAGCAGCTCGGGTAAGTTTTTTTTTCCACAGTGTGCGACTACTTTGTAGTAACTTGTTAGACCATTTGATGAATCCTTCACGTCAAGTATTTCCTTGAATTTCTATTCATTCTTTTTTCTTCTCATGTAAATCCTTTTGCTTCTTGCGTTTCCTGGGTGTCGGTTCTTCTTCTTCTTCTTCTTTTTGTGTTGTGTAGCATGCTCAAGCCCATAAACTATGTGTGTATGTGATCGCAAGAATGAATTCCAGCATATAGAGATATTTTATTTAAATTGCATGTCGTTTGCTTTTTAGTATTTCATGCATACGTCCTTTGATCTAAGATCGGGATTCAGACTCGCTGTTCCATTGCTCTTCACACTGGCTCGGGGTGGGTGTCGTTGTCGTTGTTAGCCAACGATTCAGTGTGACGACGATGTGAAAGTTGATTTTTTTCTCCTCTTCGCTGTTGAATGGTCCAACATTAAAATGTAAATTACTCTGGGGCACTTGAGTCTAGTGAATACGAATGGCTTTGCATCGAATATGAATAACTCTTTGTAAATTCCGACATGAATGGATTATGTGCCGGAAAATGTATGCATGTGTACTTTTAGTTTTATCCCGGTCTCGTCACACACAAACTGAATACAAATATGTAATTGACTACAAGTTGCTTCGATAAGAAAATGCATGACAATTTTCTTACAACTTAGATGAATGTCCGAGAATGAAAACGCAACTTCTATTCACAACACATATAAGTGAAACAAAAATAAAAAAATTTATTGAAATGAAACAACAAAATCGAATTTTTTCATACTGTAACATAACTTTCACTTATATGTGTTGTGAATAGAAGTTGCGTTTTCATTCTCGGACATTCAGATAACTCTTTTAATAACGTTTTGACCCGAAATCGTAAAATTGCTTTTAGGATTATTGCCACTTTTTTTAGTGTGGAGGCGCATAAATGTTATGCGCGCAAATTTTGCGGGAGTTTTCAATCGAGGGGAAAATCAGTAACCGTAAATCGTAGTGAAGTTCGAACCGTAAAGTTTTCTATTTGAATCCATTTTTTATTCCTTTGGCGAATCTATCAGATTGTGCATTTAGTTCAAGATCACTGTGGTTACTAACAGGTGTGAGCATTTTTTATATTTGTCCTATTTTTTTATTCCTCATCAGCGAATCAAATGCTGTGCACGATCGACTTTGCTGCTGCTATGCAGTTGTCACAGTAACACGTATTTATAAGAGGAAGTCCAATCAGCTTGAGAATACGCAACGCTTTTTGAAATGGAGCTTCCAATACCATTTGAACGCTTCATTGATTCATTCCCCTTGGGATAGACGAGTTGGTCATCCACAATAAAATGTGTATTATGAAAATGGCCAATTTCAAAAATGTGCAAACCCCGTTCTGAAACCTAAATTCGTCCGAAAACCATAAATTTTCCCAAATTCACGCACTTTTCTACTTTTCTTTCTGCTGGAAATCAATAAAGATACCGCACATTTTTATTCCCGAATATGAAATGTCAGTGTCATTTCATTAATTCAATTGGTTATGTCATAGTAGCTTTTGCTCGTTTATGCCAAACACGTGCATGTCATCTCGTTGTTTATGATATGTGTAATCCACTGTATTCTTCATTTTTGTGTTGTTCAATGTGATAAATTGGAATAAACTCGCATCTTCTTGGCCGGATCGAGTTATGCAGTGTAACAGAAGCATTTATTATTATTTTTTCACATTCTTAGAATAAATCGAATGATAACAGTTTGGTTTTGGTTATATTAACAATTTCACACTTTAATATTGGATTACAAGTCTTAAACAGGAATGCTGAAGATTAAAAACAGTGAAAGTTGTGAATGCTAAACGCGAGACCGTTTTAATGTGCAACAAAATCTGTTATTATTTTATTTTCTACTAGAATTTCCACGTGGGCTTGAAGTAATATTTGAAAAACAAAATTAATAGAACTCCAAATGTGTGCAGTGCATATATTCATACAATAAGTCATATTCATCTATCCTAATAATGCACATCTGGTTTACAACAATCCTTAAGTGTTGCATGGGAAAAGATGAACTTATAACATTTTTCAGAGATTGTACATAATATTAATTCGGACACAGCCTAATTAAATCAGCCGAGAACATCAAATGTGAATTGACTACTTAACCATCACCATCAAAAAGTTAAAAATGATTTTTGTTAGCTGAAATGTACGGTGAAAGAAATTTATAAAATTTGAGTGACATTTAAAAGCCTTTATTAAAAAAAATCAAAAGTCTTACCTTTGATGTCATCTCATAGTTCTAAAAGGGGCCCCATTCGAATTCTCACTTCATTTTGCATACGATTCACAACAAACAAAAACATTTTTTGTTTATTCGTCGGCAACAAATAGAATGGGGATTTATTCCATGGGCGTGGCGTCGAAAAAATTGCGTACAGCACCGAGTACTCCCGCAGTGGTGAGAAACTAAAACACGCCAATCACCAATATTGATGTTCACGATCATCAAATTGTTCATACTAAATTTTATCCACTTTAGGCATACATAACAATAAAATCCTTGATTATTAGAATCACAAAATTACAGATTTTTTAATGCACAAAGTAATAGCAAGACAGATTTTCCAATGTTCAACCATTAAAACATATTTGACATATTTGATAAACTGTGTTTAATAACTCATTATTTCTTCTTCGTCGAAATATTATTTTTTTTTTCTGATCAAAATTTTTAATTTTATTTTATTTTCGGGTGCACAGTAACACGATGGTTCTAACTTTTAGAACTGCAATATGAAATTTGGCACTAAAATTCATCAAGCACCATTTGTAGTTCAAAATGTACTAAATCACAAATCAAAGCTTCATGTATTTATTATAGAACTTTTGAACTTTTTCTAGAGCAAATGGTACTAAAACAAAGTCAAGTGTCAAATCTCAACATTGCTAGAATCATTGTGTTTACTGTGTGAAGACACGTTTTGATCAAAACACAAACATTGTTGTCTAGTGATGTCTATGAACATCAAACAAGAACTGACATTACTGTCAAAACCACTCATCGGAAAACACTTGCTTTAAGTTGATTCGACTAGATTTGAACAAATATCAATTGTAAGCATATGGCCTTAAGAGTAATGAAGGGTCGCTTGGAAATCTTTGAAATAAAATGAACCTGTCATTTCCAATACAAGTTTTGAAGCATTGTAGCTTTCGAACAATCAAATTCATGGATATAAAAGTTTACAGGTTCATTTTATTTCAAAAAATTCCAAGCGACCATGTTTTTTTTAGATGCAGGCTCTTTGAAGACTCTGCGTTCGCATTTGTTATGTTTTTTCTTCATTTCCTTCGATTTCGGAGCTGCCCGAATCGCTTTTCAGAGCTGCCCGTTCTGATTTCAGAACTGCCCATTTGAGCCGGAACTGCCACTAAAATACGCCGTGGATTGACCGATAAAAGTGTATATGAATCCATTCCATCCCAAGCGAACTGATAAAAAGAGCGAATGCACAGCACTGAAACGAATTTCTCTTAGTTCATTTCCATTGTGAATAAAATTCCTTCCGAGAAAGTACTTTCGCATACACATATGAGTTTATGCTCGTTTAACTGTCTGTAAAATAATAATTCTTTTTGCCATCATGTAGCAATTAGTTTTTACGCTATTTTCAAATATTTTACGCTCTGTTTACTACAACTGTTCGCTATGCAAAATCAATAACGCAATTAAATTGCACACAATATGATGAACAGTGTGTGAATGTAACTAGCCGACCGGAATGTTGCCTGCAAACAAACTAAAGCTCTGCAAAGCATTTATTCTTTGATAAGACGGGAAAAGTTTACATCAAAATTCCCACCGGTTTTTTTCTTCTCTACACTATGTGTATATGTGTCTTACCCATTAACGATATAAACAAGGCAGCTGCTTTCCCAGTTGTGACGCACTCTAATGCAGTCTTTCCAATAAAGACGTCATAAAAACGGTTTTATGTTTTTTTTGTAGTTTCAGCCTGATGGTTTTTTTCGTCGACTTATTTTTCTCTTTCGTCGTCTAGTTCATTTTAATAAGATGCCAACAACAACATTTCTAGTTGCATTGTATCGTTTCATTTTACAGCCGTATTTTATTAGCAACTCGCGAATTATTTGAACATTTATCCGGTACGCTTCGTTATCTCTGATATATCAGAGTGTAGCAGCTCTAATCAACGCTTTTGCCAGCACGTTCACAAACGAGAACAAGAAAAATGTATTGAAACTGAACTGTTTGTTGCGCCATAAAATTGAACTATATGGGGGAAAACGAGGCGAAATGGCCGAAACGAATGGCGAGGCGAGAGAGCGTAAAAAAGTGTGCAAAAGCTTTGATGAATGATCTGCCTTATTATGATGGAGATATTATTATTTGATTAGCCCAAATGAAATGTTGGTCAGCAAATATGAGCAAAATGAAACGATGGAAAATCGTTTCCACGCGGACACTCAAACGAATACCAACAACGGCGCAGCGCATGTAAGAAAAAATCAGAAAATGAACGCTATGGCCATTCTGTTCAACAGTTCGAAAAAAAGGTTGATTGCAGCAACAGAGGAACGAAAAGAGAAAGAAGGAAAAACGCGAGTCGAAGGCACGAAGTGAACGAAACGAAACAGACGAATAAAAACAATAGCTGGCCAAAGAAACGGAAAAAGGCGAAAGGAAAACTTATTTATAATTCCATGGTGTATGTGTGTGTGTATTTGTTTTCCTTATTTTCTTTGCCTAAAATACCATTTTTTTGTTCTTCTTCTTCTCGCCTTTCACCCTTTGCGCGTGAAGGCAGCTAAAAAATGCCCCGAAAATTAAGCGGATCCTTGTTTCATGCTGCACCTAATGAATTTGGCGCATAGACCCACGTGACAGATTGAATCATTGTTATTGTAGGTTAGGTTGTTGCTGTTACTTTTGCTTTTGTTCTACACTTTAACGTGTGTTAAAAAATTTTAATTTTTGCCG